CCAGTTAAGCCTAATCTCACAACAAATTTACTTTCTGGATTAAAATTACATTGGATAACAAAAGATAGATTAACTTTGTAAAGCAACATAAACAATAGTGTCCCATGATTCTTTGGTGCAATCTATGGGATTGAGCGATTCCCCTTTAAAGAATGGTATATAAACAGGCACGGGCGGAGTTTGTTATTCAAATGAAGTCGCCCTCGCCCACATCAACAACGGTGATTACAAGCTCCACAAAAACAAGAGAAACAGTGATTCATTGCATTATATTTTCTATTTTTCAAACGTGAGTGGCGCCATGAATGTTCAGGGAAGCCATAAATAAAAATAGTAGAGGATTTGACAACTGGAACATTTATTTTTGCCGGGAAAATGGGTTTCATGATGTTATAATTACGGAAAAGGTTTAGCTCGGATATTATAAGTGACATCGCAGCGCCACCGCGATGCCACGCCACTAATGTCATCCGTGTACGCACAACGAAACCTTATACGCCGACGTTTACCGCAATTCCTAACTATTCCAAGAATAGTCGGCCGTCATTGTCAACAGATGGAACCCATGTGTTGTCACACAATGAGGTTAATTGATCAATTCAAAAGTCAATGTATGTGCGGTAGTGTCAGCTGGTCTGCTCTCTTGAACAAACAATACGCGGCGGAAATTATACACCACAAAAATAAAAACACATCGCGCTTAACTACAACTGAGACCCCAAACAGGTCGTTAGTGCCTTAAACTGCTAGGCTTTAACGAAGTAACACTGAGAATTTTGACGAGTTTTAGCTGTTTTTTCTGTAGACCCATCGCAGGTTATGTGAGCCTCAGCGAAATAATAATATTTTATTGGCAGGACACTGACGTAGAAAGGTACAGTAATATGGTCTAAAAAAAACTTAAACTAAAACTGAAAAGATACAAATTACAACACGACGAGGAATTATAAAGCTACGAAAGGAAGACATTAAGGTTTAAGATTACGTATTTCAGAAGAAAATGGAATAATGGAAATTTGGACACAACAAGGAAGGTTATTTAGATTATTTTCATTTTTACTGTATATAAACTGGGCTTATTGTGCTCGGTCTGGAAGTTTCTGTTTTATACATTTTTCTGTGTACTTAGCTAACACGATATTCAGGAATATTATACCTGAACTCATGATTGCGAAGAATTTGTTGTTTTTTTCGTCAAAAAAGTGTAATTTTTAATTACTTTTGCTGCATTGACAACAAACGCAAAAGTAAATTTCTTTGCTGTTTGTGCATGTGTTACATGATCTCGTCTTTAATTCCCATAACAGTACACAAGTCCCAATTCATATGTCAATTGGAGTTTTTGGTTTTGTATGTCTGACCATTTTGATTTTGAGACAGTGATTGCCGAGTCTGAATTTAATCAATTGTTCTATCATTTTGATGATTTCGATATTAACCAGATATATTTCCAGTCGGCATATATTTGTGAAATCTCTGTATGTTCTCTGTTTATTTTTTTTTCTATGAAGTTATTCTTATTGTTATCATAAATATCGTTTTCCTAACAATTTAAAAGATGTTTTAATTTGTTTGTCCAATATATTTTGATTTGGTTTTTGTTATTATTTGTCTGTGTTAGTAAATTGTGATTGGGTGATATAAGCAAGTTAGGTTTCCACTTCCTTGTACCATTTACTGTTCATTTTCTTGTTTAAATCAGCAGCTTTTTCAAGAAGTGTATTATTTGTATTCATTATGCGATTGTAATATGAGATCATTTGTGCCGAGTTCTCCGTAAATGCCCATTTTGGGATTATTTGTTGGGACCCTACCGTTAGGTGTACATCATCGATGACAGATTTGTAATTACTTTCATCTCCTCAAATGTCGCTGCCATAAACTAATATTGGTAGACTCAGTTTATGGGATACTGATGAAAATCAAGTTGTTTATAGGTTAAAGCGGGAGTCGTCAACTGCGCATGCGTCAGATGGCCATAGCGTGTCATTCATTCCGAACAAGCGTCTACCCATGAACCTTTGCGTTTTTAGTGTGTGTTGTTATCGTCGCGTGGGACTCAATTCCCGCGCGTGCGCAGGTGACGACCCTCCCGCTTTAATCATTGTTTTTTTTTTTACTTACTTTCCGTTGTATTGGGACTCAGTACAATCCCAGGGTAATTAAAAAAATGGTTTGATTAAATTGTTTTTCTTGAAAAAAATACGTTATTGTTTAAAAGTTTATCGAATTTATTGGACACAATAATTTTCGTTATTGGTGTATTCTGATAGTTTATCAACATACACCAAGCGTAAGTGGGTTGCGTTACTTCTATAGAACAACAATGGACCAATGGTCATAGTAGTCGCATCTTATCTTTACTATAGTGAAATACTTGCTGCATTTACTTAGCGCATTCAGTGGAGTAACCATGCAATTGTACATCACGTCTATTTCGAAATCGTTGACTCGAACCCAGGGTGTTTCTTATGGTAATAATGAATAAATGAATACCGAGTAGAAAGTTGTACTGTGGGAGACTGGATTCCATAATAAATGAACAGGTCATTGTATTGTGATTTATTACAATTTTTATTCAAGACAGCAACTGCTAGATTTATTGCAAAATACTGACAATTGAACAAACAAACAAAAACACTACGGATGGATGTCACCCGTCTCACGAAAGTTAAGGAACAAGAAAGAGTCTGGAGATGGATAAGAAAATACGGACACAATATACTACATACAGAAACTAGGCAAGACGAGGAAATCATTTTGGAAGGTGTTGGTGGTAAAAATTTAGCAGAAAGTTGTACTCCCCATCTGCCATCGCCTAAAAAACTGACACAGGCAGCTGGGATAGGATCTTATGAGATTATCCTCGTTATCTGAGAAACACTCCGCTGATAGTAGAAGGACGACTACGAGGACCCTAACGGTAAATTCTATTAAACGCCAGAGGCCCGTTATTTGACATTGCTTTTGAATAGCAGTAGTCTGGATTCGAATTGATTGAATGACAGACCTGTCATGATGTAAGCAAATGATTTGCGGTGGAATGCAACATGTAGTCTGCTATTTTATTGACACAACACTGACACAGGATGGTCTCAAAGACTAAGACATACAACTTACAACACGTCCAGGAATGATAAAAGTACTAAAGTGAGAAATAAAGGTAAGCTCTCATTTCAGCTCCATTATGATACCTACATATATCAGGTCATTGGCCAATTCCGTTCTATTCCAAAGAAGTTACGCAACGCCCGGCGGCGCTGCAGAACCCACCCCTAAAAATCGCCAAATTTGCCGTGTAATAGCTCCACGTGCGTTACGAGAATTAATTACCATTTTCTGAGCCGAGGTCAGGTAAAAGACCAAGGAGCGCGCAATTTTGTTTTTCTTTTTGTACAAGTTATCTTTCGCTAATGCAGTGCCAGTTTACAATTACCATAAAATGGGTTTACAGAAATACGATCTTTGGTTATTTTTACCCGTGGATCACTATAGTGTATTCACTGGGCATGGCACTGATACAATACAATACACAGAGCCAGGCTGTCCAAGTGTTTACCAAGTAAAATAACATAATCAGGTAAACCCAAAACGCGTGACCAATAAGAAAAAAAAAACAGTTTGTAGACCGTTAAAGTATTTTGCAAATTTAAAAGGTGGTGGTCGTCGCGCCACGCACGCGCGAGATATTGGTCTCATATGAACAAAGATGGCAGCATTGACTGTTGGGCAGATCAACGAGTACAAACTGACACATTTCTAAGCTTTAATGTTGTAATTTCTTTATTGATTATAAGTTGTTGGAGGAGTCGCCGGCGGTAATTAGTGCACGTCGCGCCCAGATCAAGACTCGTACTCGTGATACATATAGAAGAGCGCATTGGATTGTGGGAAAATCAATGTTCATCAACACAAATGTCGCACATGCGCAGCGCGACAACCACCACCCTTTAAAATATATTTGCATCAATCTACAATTTCCATTCAGCGCATGTCCGACATTAACTCTAGTTTGCCGAGTGCGCCTACTTGATGTTTGCTTCAGTCACCGAAACTTCTTTCGCGTTTAAAAGCCTGTACCTGTAAAGCAAATATTTCTCTCGCTTTTTTGTATATCTCCATATCGTAATAAAGCGCACGTTTCACTTCTGGGTCAGAAGATATTTGTTTTAACATAGCTTTAAATAAATCGCCGAATTCTCCTTCAGGGCCATACTTGTCGGTGTGCGGCTTACAGTTAACGTAAAATGGTAGTTGGTACACGTGTTCGTACAGGCGGAAGGATATATCATAGTGTTCAACAAGACCGATAACACTAAACCATGTTTTCAAATGAGCAATCACGTAGTCCAAAATATCCTTCCGCTGCTCCTCGCTCACGAGTTTTCTTAATAGTATACGATTTTTCAGCCAAGCAAACGATCGTATTTTTTCTTGGAAAGTTCTCCTTGGAAAAGGTCGTTGAATTTCGGATGATCTGCTAAGATTTCGGGGTTGACGAGCAGTTGGTCGAAAAACTGACTTTCCTGGTAAATGGACCATTGTTTAACTGTCATGTTGTTGGCGTGTTCTAGTTGACATAAGTGGGCTCTGTGTCTGCCTTGCTGTTGTCGACACATAATGTAAGTCCCGACGGCACGCTCATACGGGTTTCGCAAAATTGCAAAATACGAGCATGGCTTATCGATGTAGTCGCAAACACCCATGGACATATCGCCCCAGTACATATCGTTCTTATAATCAATTTTGCTGGAATTGAGCATATTGCGATAAAACGTCCTCAAGTTTCCCGATATTGCACTGTAGAGGCGAGTCGGGGTAGTTTTATTCCAAGTTTCCCGGAGGGAACGAATACATCGTCTCATGCTTGAACCGCCAGTCTTCGCATTGTGAACAAACACCATAACGCCATTTCGGTATTTTTCATTCGGTGGCCATTTTTTACTACTTGATGCATACAGCTTCGGTCGGAGAAAATAATTTGGTAAACTGTTGCGTTTTTCCACCCAGGTTAGTGTGTGCTTCCATTCCTCATGCCTGTGAATAAAAACGAATCAGATGAAATGGTAACTGAAATTTTGCAGTCGTCAAGTTCTGGTGACATGGTGGTATAAAAAAAATCCTGATCCTGCATAAATCTTAGTAGCAGCCATTTTCGACGTTTTTTATCATTCAGAGTAAGATTTTTAGAACAAAACGTAAAAACATTCATATCGAGAACAATTATGGCGCTAAACGAGAGAAGAAGAAAACGAGAATACATTTAAAAAAAAAAGACAGAATATTGAACATTATACTGTATTCTTTCTAAATCGTTGGTCAACATTTACCGTGCTGTTACTTTTGATGCGTAATTTCGATTTATTTTCATGAACCCAGCTGTGGGTAAACACGTCCTCTATACATTTACGTACCAGGTTGAGTGACGGACTGAAAACAGGAGATTTAATTTGCATACTGCTTTGTTGACCAACCAGCTTTATTATACCCTGTGTAATCTGACCGTTACGCGATTGCTTTCGAATCACAAACAAACATTGTAGCTATAATATTTAAAAACAATAAAAAATTAGAGCTGCTTAATCTATTTTTTTGACGTGGCTTATTACGGAAACGTTTTTCTACCATATCAGTGTTTGTTCATTCACTACAGACAGTGTTGTGTGAGACCTCACTGGCAGTATTTGCATAACAAATAGGTTTGTCTGCGCAGTATCAGTTATCTAAAAAAAATATTACAGGTAACAGCTAATTACCTTGCAAATAAATTGCAACAATATATATAGCGATGTTTATTACTCGTTTAATCTAATAATTACGATTCCAGAAATCGTTGAAACTTAGTTCTAAATCTTGCTGATCAACATCAAAATTTTCATCTTTTCGTATCACGTGACTAAAATGGTTAGCATCGTGGAAGTGACGTAAGAGCTCAGTGTCGGGTTCTTTACCTAAACCGTTATTATACCGAAGTGCTTAAATCACAGTCCCTTTATTGCTTAAATACAGTGTTCGTGTTAGAGACAAGGTCAAAGATGAACCGCAGAGACTTACCTGCTACCGAAATCGCCTTGTCTGTCATGAAAAGCCGTGTGGACAGCAGATAGTAACGTAATGTACAAAAAGAACCCCAGAACCATCAGCGCGATAAAAATGGTAAATTTGCACGAGTTGGCGACGGTGTAAATCGGCATAGTTCGGGCGCGGTACTGCATCTTGATGAGGTTCCGAGGATGACGTACCACCTATCAGTCTCCGATCGGATCATTTGATAATATCAAGTTAATAACAGCGTACATTAAATACAATAATTTTGCGTTTGTTGGATGTTCAGTCTGCGACTGGGAAATATTATTATACAATCCGTGCTCAGCAGATGTTACCATTTGCTCACCGGATTACTGTCCACAGGTCAAAAAACACTGTGTTCGGGTTCGTCAATAAAGTTTTTTTTTTTCAAGTTGACAAATAGGATTGTAGCAAATGTTCTTTAGCGTTGGGTTTTTAAGTAGGATACGTGATACATATGCATGGCGGGTGTATTAAAATATAAAATCGTGACTGAACTCTCACGCTACAATGTAATAAAAATAATGCGCAACTACAGCTTAACTACATAATATACAGGCCGTATTTGTGAAATGCACCAACATGAAGAATACCTTATACGTTCTGACTGACTTTTGGGCAAATAACAAACAATTACAAACGAAAATGATCCATAGCAACACTATCGTGGACGTGTAACCAGCTTCTGCACCGACCCAGCAACTTTTCGCAACGTCTTACTGTAGCATCTGTATGGGAAGTCTTAGCAACTTCTGCGATATATAAGAAAGTCTCTAACCGAATTAGCAGTTTCCGCGATATGTAAGAAAAATGTTTCACCGACTAGCAAATCTTTTTTCTCAGTGTAAGTTCGGGTGTATTTTCCGATGAATAGAATGTAGCTTGTGTTGTACTTTTGTTTAAGGTTGGTTCAAAACAGAATTTAGGCATCTCCAGGCCAGTGTCGATACTATAAGGTCATTACGAAGATATCTCAAAGTATACACGAAGACAGTACAGCGACAGTATCGATTGGTCAAACCATAGAACTATTAGTTCCATGGTCAAACCCTGGTGGCAGCCATGTTTGTTTTTATTATTAGAGAACGCTTACGCGCGTAATCATTCCATATTTGGAATTCGCATTTCCTAATATGGTAGGATGAAAAATACCCCGTAAAATACCGCAAAATTTCGGCACGCTGTAACGTGTGGCGTTACGGTAACAGATGTATAATAACATAAATTATTTCCAATCATTCTAAAAATATAAACGTGCAGACACCTTTGTATAATTATATGAAATCTGCATTGAATAAATTAAGCAACGTATGGCTCTAATCCATGGATAATAAGGATATAAATAGAGTAGTTTTTTGACATTAGAAAGGCGTTTTGCTTGGTAGATCATTGCATTTTGTGGAAAATTAACAATTTACAGGTATGAATCTACTTCTCTTCAGTGATTTAAATCATACCTCGATAATTGTTCACAATTAGTCCAGTTTAAGAATACATATTCCCATAAAGAAAATGTTTCAACTGGTGTTACCCAATAATGTAGCATTATTATTCATTATATATCTCAATGATTTACCACTTTATATAGAGTGTAACATCGACATGTATGCTGGTAACTATAGTAACCAGCGCAAAATATATACCAACAATTAAGAACACCCTCAATTCTGATTTAGAAAATCTTTGAAATTGGTGAAAACAAAATAAAATGGCAATAAATGATAACAAGACAAAAACAACGATGGTTACATTTTACTGAACACTCATTAGACTCTAAATTAGAAGTGACAACATTTTGCGGATAGGTAAAGGACGATAGTCGTCGTGCCGCGTCCTGTTCGATATGGGACTCATAGCGACGTATACAACGCGTGTAAAATACATTGTTTATTTACATGAAATTCGAACACGCGCTGCGCGACGACCACCGCGCTTTAACTGTAAACAGAAAATGACAACAGAAATTGTCATTTGTGAAAAAGCTGTATATATAAACTTTAAAAAAAACGAGCATTGAGGGTTATGTGCGATGCAAGATATAATGCATCCACTGAGGAGTTATTTAAAGCGATGTATATAATGTCATTAACTGATGGAATATTTATGGTGTGCAAATGTTTAAATAAGCTAGCGCCGCCATACAGTTTTATTGAAATTACATACAAAAGAATTACAAGATCAAATCTAACCAATTATCATGTTTCTGTAACCAGTAAGCCTTTTTACTTTTTTTCTGTGTATATTGTCTAACAATAGAATAGTGTCAATTTTAAAGCGGGAGGGTCGTCACCTGCGCACGCGCGGGAATTGAGTTCCAAGCGACGATAACACCACACGCTGAAAAGGCAAAGGCTCATGGGTAGACGCTTGTTTGTAAACTATGACACGCTATGATCATCTGACGCATGCGCAGGTGACGACTCCCTCGCTTTAATATAAGATCTCGTTGTTTGTTTTTGTTGTTTTCGAGTTTCATACTTTATCAATCATTCAAACAATCAATCGATCAAGCGATCAAACCTAATCAGGTACATATTATATATTATGTAGAACAATTCCTGCGTAATTAATGAGAGCGTTCAACATTTCATTTTGTTCAATTAAGGCCACATTCCAACCAAATTGATGACCATCATGGTAGATCTCGGAGTTCACGTGTATTTCAGGCCGGCTTCAAGACGTCACAATATCATAATATATAGAGCCAACACATTATTGGCATATAGTAGATAACATTTGGTAATCATTGTCCCAAGTAACTATTCAAAATAGTTATTTCGAGTAGTGGTTCTTTATCTATAGCGTAGAACAAAAATAATTAGAGCGAAAACATAATTAATTGAGTAGGCGGGAAAACATCTTTCATATTGCGGGGAGTTGGATAAATATCGACGATTGTCGGTATGGGCCACCGTAGAAACGGTACCAAACTCGTCGCCGGCATGACAAATGAAGAAATATATTTCAAGTCTTGAACGAAGCAAACGTCACGTTTCCATCCATCTTGCTAACTGACTGTCGAATAATTCTCAGAACCGCTGTAAGTTTTGCCGCTCTACATCTGACACGAAAAGTTCCGGAAATTGAATGTCACTGTTATATTTTCAGTCTATACATACAGTGGTGCATTTTGCCTTACTTCCATAGGGACTAGTCATTTTTTTTTTAACTGGGCCGATAAAAACAAGGAGGGTTATGGCATTTCAAATACACAAGAGAGGACATGCCATTTCACTTAGTGCCTTAAGGGTGGGGCGTAGGTAATTTTTCTAGTTGA